AAAAGGGAGCAGCGGAAGCGGGGGCCCACCTCTAACTTGGGCCGCCTCGACCTTTGGGATGCCGAAGTTGACGCGGTCAACAGTGTGAGGTCGGGATGAGGGGCGGCTCCTCTCCCGCACCCGCTGTACGTACTCGAGTGTCGGGAAGAGGGGCGCTGGGGGGGGGGGGGGGGGGAGGCATGATCTGGCACATTTTCCTTTTTTCTGCGGTGAACATTCTGCGGTGATCATGATCTGTGGCACCAGAACGTTCTGGTCCTCACCGTGCAGCAGCAGTTTCACTGACTCAAGCTCAACGAGAATCGAGAACTCGGAGTTTCTCTCTCTGCACTCTGGCGTCTGGCTCTGGGCACATTCACACGTGCAGCCCACACTCATTAAGAGTTTAACATGTCAAAACTTAATCGTCAGATCCCTCACAAATGATGAGCGGACCGAGCCGCCGGGTGCCCCGCAGCGGCCTCGCTGGGCCAGAACGTCGGCCCCGAGTGCTCCGCAGCAGCCTCACTGGGCCAGAACGTCGGCCCGCGAGGTGGGGTGCTAGTCTGGGACCCATCCATACGTGGCAGTTCCCTTGCTCCAAGCGCTTGGCTTCGGCGGTAGTGATCTAATCACCCGAATACCACGTTCGGATCGCTCCTCATCGCAAACCCCGTCAGCAGTTCACCCTCGGGTATGTTCGTAAGAGCTACATACACTGACAAAGTTATGCCTTCATGCCTCCCGATTACGCGATTACGGCATTTCCCATTCCCTCAGTCGTCCGTCTTCTCGAGAATCGCCATCGCGGCGAGGTGTGCCAGGGCGCAGATCGATGCTCGTCGAGTTGCTGTCGGTCATCCTGCGGTTGGCGAGCGCCGTCTTTGACGACCCCTGTGCGGGCGCCACCGCCCGCCGCTCGAGATGTACGAGCCCAATGAGTACCAGCCCTGCAACTCGACAGCATGCACCGCGGCGGCACCCGACGTGCTCGTGTTCCTGCACAACACGAGCTTCGCGACGGGCGGCTTCAACGAGCAGACGGTCTTCCGGATCGTCCTCAACGACACGCGGCACGTTTACCTGCTCAACAGGCAGTCTACGGTGGAGGTCTCCGGCACGAACTTCTCGTTCCGGAACCCGCCAAAATTCATGCGCTGGGCAGAGCAGTCAACGCGCGACGCGCAGCACGAGACCGACGCGCTGATCGACTCGCTCGTCTACCACCAAAACACGCCAGCCCACACGGCGACGCGGCTCATACAGAAGCTGGTCACGTCCAACCCGTCGCCGCGGTACGTCAAGCGCGTCGCAGACGCATTCCACACCGGCACGTGCGCCGGCCACGTGTACTCCGGCTCGTATGGCGACCTGGGCGCGACGGTCGCGTGCGCCCTCCTCGACCGCGAGGCACGGTCGATGATGCTGGACGCCTCTCCGACACACGGCCACCTGCGCGAGCCCTTCCTGCAAGTGATGAACGTGCTGCGTTCGCTCGAGTTCGTCTCGAAGGACGGTCGGCAGGTGCAGCTCCTTGGCCTGGACGATTTCGGGCAGCAGCCCTTCAACCCGCCTTCCGTCTTCAACTTCTACTCGCCCGAGTATCGCGCGCCTGGTGCTGTCGCGCAGTCACGGCAGCTGTCACCGGAGGCGGAGGTGACCGCACAGGGCGACTACTACATCGCGAAGTTCAACGGCCTCTTCTCGCTTGTCGAGTACGGGCTCTCCGGGTGCAAGGGCGGCTTTGGCATCCCCTCCATTACGCGGTCGTGCGACAAGTACAAGGGTTCAGCATATGCGGTCGACCACGCAGGGCAGCTCACGTGGCGCCCGAGCTCCACGCACGGCCCCGATGTGGTCGACGAGCTCGCCCTGCTGCTCACGGGGGGCAGGCTGGGAGCGAACACTCGCGCGGTGGTCCTCAGCGCTTACGAGGAGGAGGTGTCGGCGAGGGGGCACACATCTGCGCTCAAGCTGGCTGAGAAGCTCGTGCTCGCCTCCGCCGATTTCCACGCTACCAACGCCAACGCCCTGCCACCGCTCCCCCCGTCGCCCCCGTCGCCCCCGTCGCTACCGCCATCAGACCCGCCCCCGCGGCTCCCACCCCGCTTGCCGCCAACAACACCGCCCTCGCCACCACCGTCCTCGCCGCCAACAACACCGCCAACATCGCCTGCACCGCTTCTTCCACCCTCTTGGAGCATATACGGGGAGGCATCGGGCGACCAATGCTTGAATTTTGAGATGCACTGGATCGCGAAAATCAGTGTCGACGAGTGCTCTCGCACGTGCGCGTTGTATAATGGGAAATTCTACCCATACTTCGAGCATGCAACCAATGGAGACAACAATTGTAGATGCTACAGCACTTGCACGCTGAAAGGCTCCGCCAGCTGGGGTCTGATGGTCTATCAGCAAGCGACACCGCCGCCCTCACAGTTTGTCAAATCGGATATTGGCGCTCAAGACGATGTAGCGCAAGGATGCCCAGATGGCTACGAGCGGATCACCTCCTCCGAAGAGTGCGAAGCAGCTGCCGGCGCCTTACAACTTCTGAGAGCCGTTGGCGACTATGAGGGCGATTGGACCGACTGGCCTCAGGCGTGCTGGATACATCCCACTTTTAACACAGTCTACTTCAACCTGAACCTGGACGAAGATGAAATTGACTGTTCGTCCTCGTCCAAGAGACATTGCAGAGGGGCCAGCACCATCTGCAAGCGCACGCAACCGTCACCCCCTCCATTAAGCCCATTGCCCCCGGACGCCCCTCCCTTCCCCCCGGCCGCACCTCCCCCCAGCTGGCCGCCCGCCAGCCCGCCGCCCGCCAGCCCGCCGCCCGCATCGCCTCTCGGCGGCGACGATTACAAGGCGGTCATCGTGATCGAACTCTTCGGCGGCCTCGACACGTTCAACATGCTCATGCCGCACTCTCTCTGCGACGCGGCCGCCGGAGGTTACGACGAGTACCTCCAGGCGCGCGGGGGGCTGTTCACCGGAGCGGAAGGCAGCGGCGTCGGGCTCAGGCAGGACGCCCTCCAACAGATCGCCGCAAACGCGAGCGCGAAGCGGCAGCCGTGCGACGTGATGGGACTGCACCCGAAGCTGGTGAAGACAAAGGCAATGTACGAGAGCGGAGACGCCGCGGCATACGCCAACGTCGGCGCGCTCGTCGAGCACCTTACGCCCGACGAGTTCTTCGGCCGCATGGAAACGAAAAGGGACGTTCCCAACGCGCTCTTCTCGCACAACAAACAGCAGGACTTCAGTCAGACGCTCTCAAACAATCAGTTTGAGCCGGGCATACTCGGGAAGGTGATGAGCGCGCTCGACACCCCGGCGTGCGACGCGCGGGGTAACGCGAGCGCCGGCAGCGGACTCACGTCGTACAAGACCGGGTTGTACGCCATGTCTGGTGCCGTGCCGCGAGCAATGACAGGAGGGCCCAGCCTCGCGCTCGCCATCGACTCGAGGCGAGGCGACATCCGCCGGCTTTCGGAGTACGAGCAGCTCTGGCACCACATCGAGGACCTGACGGCCGCGCCCTCGCGCTCGGTCTTCGCCGAGACGCACTCGCGCGTGATGGGACAGGCGATCCAGGACGCGGAGACACTCGGCGATGCGATTGACGCGGCAACAACGACGACAACCTTCAACGACTGCTGTGATGTTGGCGGGGGTTGCGGCTGTACATTTGCAAAGGCGCTGCACACAGTCGCGCGCGTCATCAAGGCGCGCAGCGCGACGGGCGTGCAGCGCGCGGCCTTCTGGATGGGGACGAGGGGTGTCGACGCGCACGCGTCGATGGACTCTCCGGGCGACGGCATAATGTCGATGATCGACAGCTCGGTCGACGACTTCCGGAAGGAGATGGTGGCGCAGGGGTTGTGGGACAAGGTGACCGTCATCACCCTCTCCGAGTTCGGAAGGACGATCATCGGTAACGGGCGGGGGACAACGCACGCGTGGGGCGGGAACCATCTGATGTACGGCGGTGCGGTTAACGGCGGCCGGATCCTAGGGCAGTACCCGTCGAGGCTCGGCCCCGAAGGCGAGCGCACACGCAACGACCGCGGCACGATCATCCCGACCGAGCCGTGGGAGAGCATGTGGCAGCCGATCGCGCAGTGGATGGGGGTCGCGCCGTGCGACCTGCCAAAAGTGATGCCACACCTGCGCAACTTCCCGGTCGCGGGAGAGGGGCGAGTGCTGAGGGCGGAAGATGTGTATGAGGCGGGAGCAGTGTAGAGCTTAGGCCCGGGGCCGTGAATTTCATCGAGCGCCTACGCTTCTGGACGGTAACGGGGGGGGGGGGGGGTAACATTCACACCCAAAAATGCCACGTGGACGCCAGTATCACACTATCAGACGCGCCACGGTACACAAAACACTTTTCGCCTGCGGCCTGGGCGGCCTGCATGGTGCAGCATGCTCTCTCGCGCTCCATCCTCCACTAAGGTCCAAGGACCAAGCTGCATATTTGAAGAAAGAAAGTGTTTCGTCCAGCGGCAGGGTCACCCATTTTTTTGAGGGGGTTAGTTAGACATATACTCCCACAGCTCAGGCACAGCAGCGCCGGCCGGTCCAGGTGCACCCCACCATCCCGCGCCCACCTGCATCGTTCGAGTCCATGCTCCAGACTGTAGCACTCAGCAGCCGCAGACGCCACTTGCGGGCCGATCCGGCTCATTGCTGCCGAAACTGCTTCTCGTACACGTCCTTGCCAAGCTTGCCGAGCGCATCGCGAGCTGGCGTATGACCGCTGTCCCTGTGGCCGTTGGGCAGCGTCGCCGCAGCCTTGGTGCGGGTGAAGACGCCGCGAAGCATCTCAAACGGCACTCGGCGCGGCGTGCGTGTCTGTGAGGGCGGCGGACAAGGGGCGGGTGAGCGGGCGCCCACACTAGCTGCCAGCGAGGTGCGGGTCGGGCGGGGCGGAGGTTGCCTGCGTGTCGAAGCAGTTGTGGATGATGCCGAAGCGCGGCCGGAAGCCCTCGGCCCACTCGAAGTTGTCGAGGAGCGTCCAGACGAGGTAGCCGCGGACATCGACGCCCTTCGCGACGAGCTCCGCGATCGCCGCCAGGCAAGCGGAGAGGTAGCGCGTGCGTCGAAACTCTGTCCCGTCGCCGTCTGCGAGCCCCGACTCGGTGATGAAGAGCGGCACGTGGTAGCGGTCCCACAGCGCCTGGAGCAGCCACTGGAGCGACGAGGGCGTCAGGTCCCAGCCCATGTCGCTCTTCTCGAAGCCGGCGATGAAGTTGGCGCGCATCACGAGCCCGAGAGGCAGCTTGAGGAAGAGGTCCGACGGGCTCGGCGGCGCGTCCGACTCGGACGCGACCCCCCAGGAGACGAGAGAGCGGTAGTAGTGGTTGACGCCGAGCAGGTCGACGCTGCCCTCGAGGGAGCGGAGGTCGTCGCGCCAGCCGCACGCGCACGCCAAGGCGTCGAAGGGGAGCGGGAAGTTGGGGAAGCGGCCGGTGACGAGCGCGTCGGGGATGCAGTAGTTGTAGATGACGTTGAGGACGAGGACGGTCGCGTTGGCGAGCGGCGACCACGAGTCCGTCGTGAACCAGATGTGGTTGAGCGCCATCAGCACCGACGGCGCGCGCGGAAGCGACGCTGAGCCAGCCCGGATCGCGGCGGCCGCCTCCCGGTGCGCGAGCAGCAGGTGGCGGATCACGCGCAGGAGGCCCTTGAGGTCGTCCTACGCAGCAGGCTCGCTCCGCGTGAGGCGGCTCCCGCCGGGCGCGGCCTCCCTCTGCCGGGCCGGCCGCCTGCTTCCCCGGCGGGTGGACGCCAGCAAGCCACCCGCACACCGCGTAGCCGTTCATCTCGTTGGTCGTGCACCAGCAAGAGACGAGCGGGCCGAGGCTGGGGGGGGGGGGAGGGGGGGGGGGGGTCGGCGGCGGGGCGCGCAGGGAGCGCGAGGCGCAGCGTGGATGGTGGTCGGGAGGCGGGGGCCGCGCGCCTCGCCACCACCCGCTCGGTGAAGCGCCGGAAGTTTGCGACGTTCTCCCGCACCTCCCAGCCGCCCTTCTTGCAGAACCAGGCTGGCTCGGTGAAGTGGTGCAGCGTCACCATCGGCTCGATCCCCGCCTACTCACACGCGCGCCGCCTCCCGCCTCTGTCTCGCGCCGCCCTCTCCCTCGCCGACCGCCGCGGCGGCCTCGCGGAGCTGCACGCACCACCCGCGGTAACGCTCGAGCGCCGCGTCGTCAAACTGGCCCTCCTCGGGCTCGACGCGGGACCACTCGACGGAGAAGCGGTACACGGCGAGCCCCAGTGCCTTCATGTGGACCAGGTCCTCCTCGAACCGGTTCCACATGTCGCACGCCTCCCCGGCGCCGCGGCCGCCCTCGACGGTCGGGTGGCCGTCGGCACGCTTCCCTCTCTGCTCCCACTCGCGCCAGTTGCAGTTGTCGAGACCGCCCTCGACCTGGTAGGCGGCGGTGGCAGAGCCAAACAGGAAGCCGGGCGGGAAATGCAGCGCCGCCGCCCTCGCCACGGCCTCCTCCTCGGTCGGAGCCATCAGGCCGTCTGCAAAGCCGCCGCCGGCGAGCGGCGCCACCGGGAGCGACGGGTAGAGCGAGAGGAGGCGCCGGAGGCGGCCGAAGAAACGAACCACCAGCGCGACAATCGCGTGCCAGATCGCACTCAAACCGGCGGGGGCTGCGCGTTCGGGCATCGGTCAGATCGGGTCACACAGTCACGCCGCGCCGTTTCTGGACGAGTGTGTGTGTGTGAAGATTTTTATAATCCTCTACTATTATAGCGTCTTGACGGCGCCTCCGGTTGGCGGCGCCTCGCTCGGCTCTGGCTCTGGCGCGCTCGGCTCTGGCTCTGGCGCGCTCGGCTCTGGCGGCGGCGCGCTCGGCTCTGGCGGCGGCGCGCTCGGCTCTGCGCTTCCACCGCCTCGGCCGCTGGCTCCAAGTTGGCGGGCCTGAGGAAGGGGAGAGGCAGGGGGGTGTCCAAAGCGAGGATCCGTCGAGTGAGGGAGAGGCCATAGCGCGCCTCAGTGCGAGGGCCTTGGCCTCGCCCGCCACGCGCACGCCGAAGCGTCCCGTCGAAGCGTTCGCGGAGACGACGACGCCGCCTCGGGTCCCGAGGCTCCAGACGGACCTCAGCGCCAGCCTCAGATCCGTGCGATCGACCGTCGCGCAGGCCGAGCACTCCTCCTTGTCGGCGGCCGCATCGCTACTGCAGTAGTCGGCAGGCAGCCCCATCATGTTGGCGCGCACCATCATGATCGCTCCGGTGACCGTGGCCCTTCTGGCCCCGCCAGAGGATCCCCGCCACCTCTCCGGCGCCCTCGCGAGTGCGGCCCACACGCTGCTCGGCGCCCCCTCGCAGATCGCGTCCCAGTCCATGACGGGGAACCCGTTCACTCCAGTGTGGCACGGGCTGCCCGAGGTCTCGCCAGCCAGTGTCTGCGTGTCGCCCATGCCGCCAGTCTGGAGCGACTCATCCTCAGCGGGTTGCGGTCCCCTGGGTACGCCTGCCACTCCAGGCCTTGCTCTCCGCGCTTGGGAACCTGGTAGAACACCCTCGTTCCCCTCTGATCGTAGAGCCCTCCACTGTATTCCTCCACCAGCTGCTGCAGGCCCCTCGGCTGCGTGGCGAGTTACGCATTGGCGATGGTGTCCGCATAGTGATTGCCGTACACCCCCCGGTGCGCTCGGACCCACATGAATTCCACTCGCTCCACGGCGCGGTCGTTGCAGAGTTCAACAATCCGCTCGAGCAGCTGCCGCCGGTGCATTGTTCGCAGAGCCCGCAGTGATCGCGCCCTTCTCCGCTTCTCGCCGCCTCTATCATGACGAGGGTACTGCTGGAGCCACCAGAACAAGAGCACTTGAGCACTTGATAGGGTCGATTCCGCGCATGGTACGGGACCCCTCGACCGTCTCGCCCTCCCTCGCTGGTGTGCTCATTGGGGGGGGTCATAACAAACACGGTACAGGATCGAGGTGCACGCTGCAGAAGCAGTGTCGTCCCCCCTCTCCCCGACGGCGATGGCGGTGTGACCGATCGAGCTACAAGAGGAGCTTGTTCAGCAGGATCCAGGCAATCCGACGCACCTACCCTCCAACCGGGCCTGAGATCATCAGATAGGCTCCCGTCACCGTCTCGGGTTTGTGTGGGATCGAACCACTCCGGGATGGGCAAGCCCATCGTTCTGAGTTGTGCCTTTCCCTCTCATAGCAACTCTCCGCTCGACCGTCGTACTACACTCTGTATATACTCTATACTGTATAAATTGAGTAAAGCCGTACATACGTTAGGAGGGCGCGTTGGCTTGTGCGGTTTGCCACTGTTATTTGAAAAAATAAAGGGCACGAGAAAGAGACGACGGGGAACGCTCGTGAGGCGTGAGGCGTCAGGGCGCAGCTCTTCCGTTCATCTCTCTACTCTTCTCCGATTCGCGGCCACGCCGCACGCGAGGCGCGCCCTGGCCCTCGCGGACGCGCCGCGCAAGCCGAGCAGTCGGCGCGGCCGCGCCACCGCTGGGACCGTGTGCGAGGGCGGCCGCTCCCGTCCTGGCGGGCGAGCGCCGCGCGTCGCGCTCGCGGCGGCAGCGGTGCGTCGGGGGAGGCAGCAGGTGCAGCTCCTCGTGGCACTCCCAGCTGCAGGCGGCGCCGTAGCTGACGCCAAACTCGCTCGCCGCGACCGAGCTGCCGAAGGGGTAGCAGGAGCGCATGAAGTTGCCTCGCGTGTAGCCAAAGGTCTCCATGTAGACGTCTGCGCCGACAAAGAGCAGCGACTCGATCGCGTAGAGCGCGTAGTTGTTCGAGACGCCGCGCAGCGGCTCGCTGAAGTTTGAGGCGAAGAGGAGGTTCCACACGCCGGCGAGCGGAGAAAAGAAGGGCGCAGCCTCGGTCGAGCCGACATAGAGCGTGGCGCCTCGCGGCACGAAGCGCCTCATCGCCTGCAGCACGCTCGGCGGCTGCGTCGACGCGTTTCGCTGCGCGACGCACCGCGGCGCGGGGTGGCACTCGGCCAGCTTGTCCGAGCGGCGCAGGTGGAGCGCGCTGTACGGCCCGCCGATGCGCCGCCGGATCTCGCGCGCCGCCGCCTTGATCGGACCGCTGTAGAAGAGGCCGCTGCGCAGCAGCGCGAGCGACGGGGCCGTGGCGCCCGTGTAGGGCGCTGGCATCGCAAGCCGCGCCTGGGCGATGCGGGCGAGCGGCTCCGTGTCGACGGTGTTGCGCAGGCAGGCCGAGTACCAGAAGCCGGACTGCCGCCGCTGCAGGTTCGGGTGTGAAGAGCAGGGGTACTCGGCCCTCGCACACGCCGCGTTGCACCCGGCGCGCAGCGTCACACCAGAACCCGGATCACCCGTCGCGTTGGCGAGCCGGACGGGCACGAAGCTGCTCAGCAGCGCGACGTCGAAGAGCTCGTCAAAGGGGATGCACGCGCCGCCGCTGTTGTGGCCCGCCGCGGTGCATATTTCAGCCGGGAGCACAAAACTCCTTCCTAGCGCCGCCGCCTCGTTCATCGCGCATGAGAGGCTGGACATCTGGTGGTTGAGACCCATGCGCGCGTCGGACCGGTACGGCACCCAGCGGAAAGTGCACGCCATGGAGCTCAGGGAAGCGGTGGGCGGGCGGTCCCGTCCCGCTGCTGCTGTCCCGCTGCTGCTGTCAGTCAGGCAAGAGCTGAAAGTGTCCTTTGACGTTGTACAGTTCCGGACGGTTCCGCACAGGTTCTTCGCCCAGCCTCAGGTTCTTAGCTAAGTTGGCGGTCCGTCGGGGGCCGAGCCTCAGGTTCTTAACCGGGTGGATGGTTTTTAAAACCGTTTCGGCTTCGATTAAAAATCAACAAAATTGGGTGTTAAAACAGTTTGGAAGTTTGGAACAGTAAGTTCGCATGGCGTGACAAGAGAGTCATATGTTGGACTGTTGCGCGCTCGCGCGTCGTTTCGTTGTTTGTGTGAACCTTGTATGTGTGTTGCATGGGATGCCGCGCTCGCGAGTCTCGGTCACATCGATGGTTGTAGTATAGAACCCAGCATCGCCCAGCCTCAGGTTCTTAGGGAGTTCTTAGGGATCCGGCCGAAATATCAGCCTCAGGTTCTTAACGTTAGAGGTTCTTAATGCCCGTCCGGAACTGTAGCTCTTTGTGTTGCGATGCTTCCTGGGCGAGAGAGTGCTGGGCTTTCCGGCCCACACTCGGCTCTTGAGGCATTTATCGGCATTAATATGCCGTAGGGACACACAAGGATGTGCTGACTCGATCCTACCCCGCAAATTCCTACCCCCACGACTCGGAACACGAATGTGACAGGACCATCGGGTCCTTCGGCCACCAAAGCGAGATCACCCGAGAGCAGCTGAGTCTGCCTCTGGCCTCGCCTCCCTCTCCTCCAGGCATTCGTGGCATCCTATGGGTCGTCCAGAGTATCGACCTCTGGCTTGTCAGCCGCCCCACCGAGGGCACCATGAAGTCGTACAGCGATCGCCACCTCGCTGGCCTCTCCGCAAGGCCCCCCGACCGCGTCGAACTCATCGGCTTGGGCGCGCTGTTTCTTTTATATTCGTATATCTTCTGGAACACTCCTCTCCTTGCTTGCGCGGCGTGTTCAAGCCGAAAGATGGGGGACGCATACCGCGAGCTCCTCGACTATCTCAAGGCCAAAGACCAGCAGGGCGAGCACAAGCGCGAGGAGGCCAAAGCCAAGGCGCTCGAGGAGCTCACCGCCCTTAAGAAGCAGACGTTCGCCCACATATCATTTTACAACTGCATCAACGGTGTGCGCCTCCTACCCACAGCCGCGCGAATGCTGTTGACTGACACTCCGCTGCCGTGCGACAGCGGCGGACACGCTCGAGGACGGTGTTGACGCTGCGCTCACCTCGCAGAAGGAGCTGTACGATGCTCTTCTCGGATTCACGGGCATGATGGCTGGCTTCTCATTCATCGGCCTGCCGCTCGGTTCGCAGCCCGACACGTACTTCCAGGCTGTCGCCTATTTTCTACTCATCCTCGGCTTTGGCGGCTGCATGGTCGCCGCGCTCATGAGCTTCATCGCGACCCTCTTCATCAAGGGCCTGATGCAAGAGCCGTGGGACTGCGTTCGCGACTGCTTCTTCAAGTGGAACCCTTACCTCTACTGCACCAACTTTCTTGCCATCGGCGGGCCCTTTATGCTGTTCCTCGGCGTCAACGTCATGGTGCACGATTTCTTCACCGACCGCGACGAGGTGGATTGCTGGCGCAAGGGCATGGGGGAAGGCGCAGACAAGTGTACACTTTCCCTCGGCCTCCCCATCAGCCTCAACGTCCTCTCCCTAATCTTCTTGCTCGTTCTCTGCTGGCTCTTTTACGGAGCGGTGCTGAAGTCGCAGCGCGGACGGCGCATCACAAAGGCCATCGAGGAGCGGCGCTGAAGGCGCAGGCTTCCGCCGCGCCTCATTATTTTTCCAGTTTCGTCCCTGTTTATCCTCGTAACCGGTCGACGCATCTGTTCCCACTGTTCCCACACAGCACAGTGCGAGGACACGGGTGTCGCGTGCAACCTAGAGATGCCCGCCCGCACGCAGCGAACGACGCGAGAGAGCGCGCTCACGTGAGGACCATGTGTGCGCTCCCCCCATATTGCACATATATTTATGGAACACGACGATACACGAGACCCACCTGCAGCTGCAGCCTGCACCTCTCGAGCTGGCAAAAAGAATTCAGTAGTGGTCAGCTCTAGAACAAAACAAAAAACAAAAACAAGTGAACGAAAAATACGCCACTAGCTCAAGGCCCCTGTGCACCATTCACGTTCTCTCGGCTACGGGACCGGCCCCAGCTTCGGCTGAGGGCTAACAAGCTGCCGAGCGCCCGAGCCCAAATCACTGTGAGAGTCGTGATTTCTTGTTGGTCTTCAAAAATCTCTCTCTCTCTGATCAGAGGGCGTGGGAGGTTACTGCGTTTTAGTTCTAACTAATCAAACACCGCCAGTCCTCCTCCGGGAATGCACATGTACATGTGAGAGCTATGTCGCGGAGGAGGGTTTTGGACAAGTCCTCCGCGGTGACTCGGGGCGATTGGAGCCGCGAATGGAGCTCGCAACGGAGTGACGAGGCGCATGTAACGACCCCCGGGGGTCCCGATAATCGAATTGAGGAGGACGGGCGGTCCCATTGTGTGTAACGAACTCTCTGAACGCCGCACGGAGTCGTGTGAGGGCCTCGGAGAGAGGCCCTGTCGTTCAGTCTCGAGCCGCCGACAGGCTCCTGACTTCAGTCCGTGAGTGCGAAGGAGAGTAGCATTCACCGTAGCCCCCCTTTGAGCAAACGTAAACCAACTTAGACCAGCTGAGGATCTCAATACGCAACAGCACATAGACGCAAGACCGAGCATTGACGTTACTACGTACCACCTTGACCTGACTGCACGACGCACTGGACCATCGCTCAACAGCGATGGAGGAGCATCACCACGACGACCGAACCGCGGAGTGCCAGCTGCCCCCCTCGAGGGGCAATTCGCGCCCAAGGGCAGCATGGCTTCACCAACTTCACCAACCTTGCCAAGACCAAGAAAGGGAGGGTGGCCACGCCGACAGTCGCGGCGGCCTGACGGCCGCCCTCCCCGGGGACGATGGGGACCCCGCCGCAAACCCCGTGCACCCCACCCCCAGCAGGCGAGTCATCCGGCCCCGCGCGGCCGAGCAATCAGCGCCTCCAAGCGCGGCCGCGTGCACCGCCGGTAGGAAGACCGGCGGGCCGCTCTACGGCGCGGCGGCCCCCGGTGGCGGCGGTCGGCCCGAAGCCGACCCCGCCGCGCGCCTTCCGCAACACTCGGGCTTCAATGCCACCCATCCGGAAACCCGCCCCGCGACAAGCTACGTACACTGAAAAAGGACGCCTCCTCTCATGCCCAGCACACGCGTTTCTCTACACTCGGTTTCTCGCTCCCGCCCTTCTCGCGGGGCCGAGAGCGCGCAAGCTTTCCCCGACTGGGTCGTGGATCGCCGTGATCAGTTGTGCGCGCGCCTCAGCCCCCCGATCCGGGAAGGCCGGGATGCGTGTTCATGCAGTTGGGCGGTCCTCCGACCGCCCGAGCGCTTTCCCTCGGTCTGTTAAACCTGAGGTCGTGGCCGTTCAGACTTCAGTATTCTCAGCCGCGGCGGCTGGCGCGGCGGTGGCGCACGACGTCCCCGCGCGCTCGCGCTCTGCGCGCTCCATCTCCCGCGTGTACTCGGACTTCAGGTTGATCTGCCCGTCAAGAATTCGAAAGAGTGCCGACTGACGACAGCGAAGCTCCTCGTGCCGATTTCTTTTTAGATCCAGAGATCGAAGCTAACATCAAAGGACATCCCCGCAGCAGCTTGCCCTGTGCACTGTGTGACAATCTCAGCCGCTGGTCAGATAGGTGAGACTGCGCTTTAACCCTAGCTAGGGTTAAGTAACCAAAAGGACGCGCCTCGCTCTCAGGCAATGCCCTGTATGCATCAAACACCATTGAGGTATTTTCTTAGTCCATGTCTGACTCTGGATTGAGTAGATGCGTTTCTTGCACGGTTCTCGCTCCCGCCCCTACTCTACCCGCTCCTCTCCGTGCGCCGGGCGGGTGCCAGCGCCGGCTAGATCGCCGGACGCCTCGCGGTCGGCCCATGGAGCCCTCCGACCAGTCCAGCCGCGACGATCTGGCGGAGCTGGTTGCTGCGGCGCAGTCCAAGGATGTGCGCGAGCGTTGCCGAGCGGTGCAGGCGGCGCAAGAGTGGGTGCACACTCGCGAGGCGCTCGCGCCCGCCGCCGCCGCCAGCCTCATCGAGGCGATCCGGCCGGCGCTGGCCGACTCGAGCCCCAAGGTGGTGCAGGGCGCGCTCGAGCTGGCGGGCACGCTCGTGGAGCGCTTGGGCGACGCGCTGTCGCCGCACTTCTCCGGGCTGTGGGCGCCGATCCTCGAGCGGCTGGGCGACGCAAAGCCGTCGCTGCGGGAGCGCGCCGTTGAGCTGGCGGTCTCCGGCGCGACGCTCGCCGTGCCGACCGCCGAGGCGCTCGACGCTCTGCGGCCCGGCTTTGAGCACCGCAACTGGCGCACGCGTGAGAGCTGCCTGCTCGTCCTCGCGCGCACGCTCGCGGCGCTCGAGGCGGGCGGGGCGAGCCTCTCGCTGCGGCCGTACGTGCCGCTCTGTGCCCGGCTGCTCGAGGACGGCGCTCCGTCGGTGCGCGAGGCCGCGGCGCTCGCCTTTGAGCACGTGCACCGCCACCGCGGCGAGGCGCTGCTCGCAGAGATGCGGCGGCTCGAGCTGCGGCCGCAGGTGCTGCGCCAGATCCTCGCGCGGCTGGGCGACGAGGCGGAGGGCGCGGAGGCGGGGCCGGCCCAGGGCACCCCCTCCCCCGTCGCGCCGCCCTCGAGCGGCCGGCGGCGCCCCGCCTCTGCCGGGCGGGCGCGCTCGTCCGGCGGCGCGCTGGAGCAGGAGGGCGGCGGCGAGGTGCGGCCCGTGGCGGTGGGGTCGGAGCGCGAGCTGGGCCGCGAGATGGACGCGCTGGGGCAGCAGCTGCGCAACGAGGAGGACTGGGCCGCCCGCCTCAAGGCGCTGCAGCGGCTGCGCGGCCTCGCCGCCGGAGGCGCGTGCGGGCTGGGCAGCTTTGGGGAGAGGCTGCGCGCACTGCGCGACCCGCTGACGGCGCAGTGCGGCGAGCTTCGCTCCTCGCTGGTCAAAGAGGCGTGCCGCGCGCTCGTGGCCATCTCGGGCGCGATGCGCGACGCCTTCGAGCCCTTTGTGGACGTCTACTTGCCGCCGCTGCTCAAGAACACCGTCGTCACAATCGCAGTCATCTCGCAGTCGTCGCACGCCGCGGCGCGCCGCGCCGCCGCCCCAGCTGCGCCGCGGCCGCACGGCCCTGAGCTCCGAGGCGTGACCCCTCGCAGGTGCTTGCGATCCTGATGGCGACGCCCACGCCGCGGGCGCTCCCGCGGCTGCTCGGAGGGATGGGCGACCGGTCGGCCACGATGCGCAGCCGCTGCACCGAGTACCTCACGCGCCTGCTGCAGCGGCTGCCGGCGGCTTCGGCCGGCGCCGAGCGCTCCCCGCTGGAGCGGCACCTCGACGCCATCTGCCTCGCGCTGCGCGCGGCGCTCTCGGACGCCCTCTCGGATGTGCGCGCGCACGCGCGCTGCGCGTTTTGGGCAGAACTTTGCCACGCGGAGCCTAAGCCCTGCCCCTGCCCCCCTAGCCCCCAGCCCTAGCCCCTAACCCTAGGCGCTGCACCGCCACGCGGAGCCGCGCGCCGCGAGGCTGCTCGCCGGGCTCGAGGAGCAGATCGGGCGGCTGCTGCTCGAGGAGCGCGAGGCGGCGCAGGCGGGCTACGAGGGCCAGCTCGCCGCCCTGTCCATGACATGTCCGAGACATGTCCGAGACATGTCCGCAGGCGGGCTACGAGGGCCAGCTCGCCGCCCTCGACCCGCTCTCGCCCGCCCACGCCGCCGCCTTGCTCGCGCCGCCCACATCGCGCCCGCGCTCGTCGTCGCCCCACCAGCGCACCCCGGCCGCCTCCGCCCCCACCGACGAGTCGCCCGCGCCTCTGCGCCGCGCGCCATCACCCGGCCCGCGAGCGGGCAGCCTCGTTGGCGCTCTCGCCGCCGCCGCGCCGCCCGCCGCCGCGTCGCCCGCCGCCGCGTCGCCCGCCGCCGCTTCCTCCGCCGCTCGTCCGCGAGCGACGAGCGCGCGGCCGCCAGCGCGCGCGCCGCAGCAAGGCGCGAGGCCAGCGTCGTGCGGCGGCGGGCGAGTGGTTGCGCAGGCGGAGCCGCTGATGTCCGAGGGCGCGAGGAGAGTCGGGCGGCCCGGCAGCTCGGCTGGGCCCAGCAGCAGTTATGCGGAGCGCGGCCGCCGCGCCGCCGACGAGGGCGCTTGTGTGAACGGGGGCGCAGAGGCCGAGGGGCGCGAGGCCGAGGCGCAGGGCGGCGACGGCGGGCGGCGCCTCCCCACCGAGTCGGTGGCGACGCTGCTGTGCGCGGCAGCCTCGCCCGTCTGGTCGGTGCGCGTGGGTGCGTGCTCCGATCTCGAGGCGCTTCCGAGACACTTCCGAGACGCGTCCATGACACGCCCATGACGTCCCAGGTGCGTGCTCCGATCTCGAGGCGCTGCTGCGCTCGGGGCGAGCGAGCGAGGCGGTTGCGCTGCTCGACCGGCTCGCGGCCGTGTCGATCGAGCGGCTGGTGGATCCGCACCACAAGGCGCCCCTCCCGCCTCCCGCGCCTCCCCGCCGCGCCGCGTCGCCGCGCCTCCTCATTCCGCGCCTCGCGGCGCCTTTCCGCACCCTCCCG